CTTTGTTCCATGTCTTTGTTCAGGTTTGTCACTCACAACATCATGCAGTAGACTCCTCAACGGACTCGCGAATCCGAGCGTCGACATCGCACTTGGAGAAAGACTGGTGACCGATGATACTTTTCTGTTATTCGGTTACCCTAAATTAGAGTACTGGAGTCGTCCACTGTTTCAGCATGTGTTATATCTGCTGATTCGTCAATCTGTGGTATCTGCTGCTGACCCGCTCCAGTGCCTAGTGCCGGAGAACAAAGACCCACAGAAGGGAACACAACCGCTATATTCCGAACAAACGAGTGCGAGGGCAAAAGTTACAACGGCCCCACGTTACTTAAAGGGAACCTTCTGACATTGATCCAGGCTGTCCGATGGGCGTTAGTGAACACCCATCAAAATCGATCGTGCCTCTATAAAAAGCCTGAACGCTGATCACATTCGGTCGTGCTTCTGTGGTATGCAAGAACACTCATCAGGTTTTGCTGAATTGATTGAATGATTGACTGGCCTGGAAGCTTGCCGGCTTTCCTGTTGAAATTTTGGTGGAACAGTAGGTTCCGAGCGTTCTGAGGTTGCTTCCAGGAATCTGACCTTCCTGATAGCATGCAAGTTCTAGTGAAAAGTCTTAGTTCAGGAAAACCAGTTCCCCCCTTGGGATTGTTCCTGGGTTAAATTATCTTGATAACCACCAAAGCCGTCTGCGCACTGTGATAGATGAAGTCAGCGCACGCATCACCAAGGCACCAGCATCACCTTTGGCGTCAGAAACGGATATCACTGCGGTTGAAGGGCTTTATCTACACAACAACCACAAGATCAGTCCTACTTTATGAGGCCATGAATCCTCAAATATTTCCAGACAGTTTATCACCACTTTTTTCGTAGTTTAACGTCCGCCAACCGGCTGCTGCATGTGGGTAATGAAACGGCCCTTGAACGAGTACTGGACAATGAGTTGGATTCGCTCGAGTAATAGGATAAAATGGGCGGGACATGTATACCCAACGAGGATCCGATTCCTCTCTCCAAGTATTTGTTGGCGAAAAGCTTGCGTTGGACGAGCCATGACGTGGCAACGCGAAATGGAAGCAGCCACCGTCAAGTTGAGAATCGTGTATTGACAATTATCGTAAATCAATAAGCCCCTCAGATAATTTCACTGGGTGTGTAAAACTTTCTTCTAGGAAGTTGTCACTCGGGGATCCAATCAACACTTGACCACGTGATGTGATTTCCCTGACTAAAGTATGGGTGACGCTATGTTCTGCCCAAGCGAGAGCGGTGCCGACCAAGCATTGTGGTCAAACGCTTGAGCGTTTGAACAATGGCCGGAAGGTTGCGGGTTCGAAACTATGGGTTTCATCCAACAAGGATGAAGTAGCTGTACAGTGTATTTTCATGAAGGAAACTACTCACAAGGTTGCTGAAAACTCTTCGACAGCCCACGACTGGTTTCGCCCTTCAACTTGGGGCTCATCAAGTAGGCGCAGTCCATGCTTGAACGTCATGCTGGAACCCAAATTGGATACAGTTTGTCCGGTATTCATGATTGAACGCGACATCCAACAAGGATGAAGTAGCTGTACAGTGTATTTTCATGAAGGAAACTACTCACAAGGTTGCTGAAAACTCTTCGACAGCCCACGACTGGTTTCGCCCTTCAACTTGGGGCTCATCAAGTAGGCGCAGTCCCCGAGTTTCCGTCAACCTTATGTTCTACTCGAACCCAAATTGGACTGTTTTTCGAGAAACACACTCATTTGCAAATCTATTTGGTTTTCATGAGGCCGCCTGTGTGCAGCACATTCAGTTGTAGAATATCACAAACGAGAGATTCAGTTGTCTCTCGTGAAAACCAAATTGATTTGGAAATGAGTGTATTTCTCGATTGCTGCACAGTGCTTCTCTACTTTCCAGCATAGATTGGCATCACTGACAGGATGAAACCTCCTTGAGCGTGGTGAAATCTTCTCGCGTTTCTGTGCGGTTTCCATATGATCCTCCTTGCATGTTTTTTATGGAACCTATAGGAAACGGCACTTAATTCATTGTCGTGATGAGCTTGCTGCTTAGCCAAGCTTCCTAGCTGGCGCTGGCGATCAAAAGATGCAAGAATTTTGCTGAGTGAGCGTTCGCGAGTGGCGTCCGGGTCATCCCACTGATCTCATATCCCTCCAGGTTGAGGCTGAGGACTATTCATTTCGAGAAAGTCTCCATTAAGCATCTTGCTCTTGGTGGTTTTCTCCTGGCGCTTTACAATAAACGTCTTCTCTTCTCATCCCTTGTCAAATTTTACTGGCTATCAAGCACCATTTTCCACTGCTGAGGTATTTCTGTGCATGATGTTTTTGAGAATGATGATGATACACCAATATAGATTTTTAGGCAGTCGCTTAAATCGCAGATATTTTATATTTTATTCAAATTCGGCATTTACGCGAGCTCCAATCTAAAATCACATGACTTGTATGAAAATAGCCAGAAAAAGAAATTGAATTTGTCAGCAAGGAATCGATCGCTGTCGACAACATTGTTCCTCCTCTCTTTTCGCCCCAAACTACGATTCCATTGCCGAACACTTTGTCCGTAGACCATGAGGATTGCATCGTGCTTCTCCTTTGTACTGTGGTTGCCCGGGTAACAGTGAAACTTAACTCCACAGAGGACAATTCTTATGGCATAGATGATTTTTCCGGGCAGACACAAACATGTGTTCCTTTCCACATGATATTCACGAGAACGGGGGGGGAGGGAAATGGAATACAAATAAACTTTTGAACGGACAATAATACAATCTAGAGGGGCTCACTTTCTAGGAAATCAAAACAACGGAGTTCCAGTTGAACGGTTTTGCTCACCTATGAAAAGAATAACGAAAACGGCAAAGCGATGGAAGCGGTGAGATGCCTGGATAATAATCGACTGTTTGCCGTTAGTTCTCCCTGGCGTGAACGATGATCTATTACGACTGAATTGCGACTGCACTTTCAGTCTCAGGAGTGTTTGGACACAACAGTCAAACTGTGATGTGCAAACCACAGTGAGGGAATTAGCGAATATACACTCATTTGCAAACTAATTTGGTTTTTCGAGAGACTCACCTGGAACCCGTTTCTGATGTTCTCAGGCAACTGAATGTGCTGTACCAGGGTGCCTCATGTTTCAGTCGGTACGATGTTCGAGATATCGCGATACATGTATATCTGAGAACATCACAAGCGAGAGATTTAGCTGGGTTCCAAGCGAGTCTGTCGGAAAACCAAATTTGTTTTCAAATGAGTGTATTTCGCTAATTTCGTGCAATTTGGTTTCAAGTAGAACATAAGCTTGACGGAAACCTGGGGACTGCGTCTCCCTGATGAGCCTCAAGAAGGGCGAAACCGGTTATGGCCTGTCGACTGGTTTTCAGCAACCTCATGAGTGGTACTGTGAGGGAAATTTCAAAGGTGTGAACGGACCGAGTGGTTCTACAGCAAAGTCAGGCAAATCTATGGGTGTCGTCAGAACAAAAAGCACCTGGTCTCCACAGTCATATCCGAATCTCTGCTGGGTTAGAGTGAAGGAAAAACTTTCGGGGGGAATTTGCATTTTTGGAACAAAGCTATGTTGACGAAAAAAGAATATTATAGCCTTTGCTGTAACCTGTGGCCGGGCTACTTTGAGCGTTGGTTGTCTCCCTCAGAAAATGAATTTTACACCTGTGGATTGACCTTGAATGCCTTTGGTTATTTGATCTAGTCTGCATCGATTTTCGCTGTAGAGAACAACTATCTTGCACACCCCCTCTTCTGACAGTTAGCAAAAAGTTTAATCATCAGTGTTTTATCCGTTTCTGACCACAAGTGCTGGTCATCACAGCGAGTTTTCCACACAAGTTCATCAGGTGACAAAAAAAAATGACCGGTACTACCTGCAAGAGATGTTGGATCAGTCGAGTTGTCACTTAGCGGTTTTATACTGAAGTGGTAGGATACTCAAGCCAAACCAAGTTTGTTCATTCCCTCCTCCTTTTCTAAACGCCGTGGCACCTGTCCACCTACGCATATCGAGACAAATTGTAAGCGGCATGTAAGAGTGTTCTTCACGTCAAGTGAAACGGATAAAACCTACTCTAGACCCAGCCCAAATTCATGTAGGTTGCCATGAAGCCTGACTAGACTGTGTTGTACCAGCAGCAAAACGTCGCCTAGCAATATATCTACCGGTGGTTTTTCACACTTTTTTGAAGTGATTGGCTCAAACTGGTTTTATTCATAATGTAACGGTGGTACTACTGATGGGGGCATGCGAGTAGTATGTTTCCTCGTAAATCCGCTTTGCGTCTCTTGGAAAGTGAGATCCATTATGGAATTCGTGGAGTCACTTTGCAGCACTTGCTTGGATTTGAGCAACAGTCAATGAATAGCCAGAAAATTTCAGGAAAACGCGTTCAAGCAGAAGATGGATATTCAGTTTTTGTAAACAAGATGCATATGAGAGTTTGCTTCCCAGTCCAATAGCCTGTAACTGTTCAGTTGGCATTTTCTAATAACTAACTCCGAAGCGAAGTCCTTCTTCCCTTCAACAGTACCCACTTCAAAAGTCCTCATAGGACAGTGGGAATGTTACTCCGAGTTTCTAACATGGACAAGGGAGGGAGTTCTAACTAAAGTTGCCGTTCGATTTCATTCAGAATAACTGGTAGTAAGGAACCGCTTGCTCTATGAACGAGTTCGCCAATGAAGATTAGTTCAGCGGATTCAAGCGGAGACTACATTTGTTCCCAAGCCTCTAAGCTGAGTCCTGCCAACCACACTTCAGTCACTGCGAGCTCGGGCACACTGAGTCCCGTTCATTTCGATCGCCGTGGATTCGTCCAATCAGAACCCAGCAAATTCCACATCAATGGTTGGTCAGTTTTCCATGCTCACAACGTGTGAAAAGCAAGTGGCTGCATTGTCACATGTATGCCACAACAACTATCTACTCCGATCTAATCATCACTTTTGCTCGTTCGACGCGTCATGACAACTCGCAGGCTAAGTATGGTGCCAGGAGAAGCACTTCTTACCGAAGGCCCTGAAGGTCGACGGTCAGAGGCCTTGTGTACGGAAAACTATCTTTTACGATTTTTTGATCCCGTCGAGCGGAGATTTCGCAATTTTTCTGCTTCACAGTTCACTGACGTGTGGAACCACTTTGACACAGACGGTGAGCAGTAGTCTCTTGTTGACGTCCCTTTGCCTGTGGTGGGTGAGTTACGAGAGAGTGTAGGCAGTATTGAATGAAGTCAGGTATGAGACAGAGTTGAGGTTTACTGCGTGACATACACTCAAAAGGTTTAGCTGTCCCTGTTTTCCGGCCCTTTTGCCCAGTTACAATCTTACTTTAATTTATTGAACTCCAAAAATAGTTATTCTACTCTTTCTTGCAAACTTACCGCATTGAATTTTTGTTGCGTGGTACAGGGCATATTTCAGTTTGTATTTTTTAGTACTTTCAGTCACCTATCAAACGAAAGCACGACTAATAAGGCTGATTGCAAAATTTCGACCACAAAAGGTCACAACCGGGAAAAGACCTCATTAACTCGGAGTTGCTTCCCTTCGGAGTCATATCCGGAGTCCTCGTCATCATCGACAGCATTCAACTGATGTTCTGCTGCGATGCGGTGAGACAGTATGTTGGTTTTAGGTATCTTGGTTGTACGTGGGCGGCTGGGATACTTCTAGAGCGCCCAGACTTAGACAGAGGACGATTCGGCTCTTTGACCAAACCCTTTGGTTCAGATGTCTGACCAAAAGTGCGGACCAAGAAAATGTATTGATCAGAACTTTGGCTATTGACCAACTTGGAACGAAGCACTCTGTGCGGACACCCACTAGCGCACTGGGTAGTGGAGGTAAACGAAGCGTCACATCACTCTTAGTCATTTTGTGAGAAGCACTCTGGCGGACACCCACTAGCGCACGGGGTAGTGGAGGTAAACGAAACGTCACATCACTCTTAGTCATTTTGTGAGGATTACTAAATGGTAGCTGACTAGGGGCGCTATTACAAACTCGCAAGTGTAGTAATTGCTTTTTGGGTAGAGTAGCCTACTAGAGGACTTGCTTGGTGCTGCAGTCGATAGTTTACTCACACACAGCTTTGAGCAGTGTTCAGACTAGAGTTTCCTGCAATATAGTACATCGTTTTTGAGGTAGAACCTTCAGTGCGAGAAACGAAAGTTTTTTACTCCAGGGAGTTATTCTGTCTGTCCAGTCAGGTTACGAGCACTCCGGTGATGATTGAAAACCTGCCACTTGCTTCTCACTAAGTATGAAGCATCAGAGCCTCACTTTCTATTGGACCACCAATCGTGATATCATGGTTTCTCGTTGCACTTTAACAAAACTCCACTGCCGGGCGTATCGCTGTTACCCCAGTGACAGAACTTTCAGAGGGGTTAATCCGTAAAGCAGGAGCGTTTCGTTGGCACAGTTGTCCGTCACGAGTGGTAACCTTCTGAATACTATTCGTTTGCGAAAGCCGTTTAGCCAACCACTGCAAGCCTGATTTCATTTCTGAGCATCGATGATTATTTTCATAAAGGAAACTACTCACAAGGTTGCTGAAAACTCTTCGACAGACCACGACCGGTTTCGCCCTTCCACTTTGGGCTCATCAGGTAGGCGCAGTCCTCGAGTTTCCGTCAAACTTATGTTCTACTTGAACCCAAATTGGACTGTTTTCGAGAAATACACTGATTTGCAAATCAATTTGGTTTTCAAAAGAGACTCAATTGAATCTCTCTTTTATGATATTCTGCAACTGAATGTGTGCACACAGGCCGCCTCAGGTTTCAGTTGGCACGATATTCGAGATACTGATTTGCAAATGAGTGTATTTCTCGAAAATACCGACGATTTGTTCTCCGAGTAATTTGATTTACATTTTACATACCAATCGAGGTGACATCATCAGTGCGCTGTTTGGACAACATCTCCTGGTTTCAAGTAGTACATAAGGTTGACGGAAACCAGGGGACTGCGCCTACCTGCTGAGCCCCAAGAACGGCGAAACCGGTAGTGGGCTGTTGACGGATTTTCAGCAACCTTATGAGTAGTACGTCACAGAGATAAACACCTCCTGAGTTTTCGTCGAACTCAACTTTCCAAACTGCTTCAAAATGATCAGCATTTAACGAGGTCATATGGGGGGAAAGACGAATACTAACAACGAAGGATACCAGACGTAGTATCCACAGGATTTCCGGGGAAAAAGGAGAAACTGAAATGGTTATTTATAGCCTCCAATCAGATGCACTTTGAGAAATGATCGTCGAATAGTTTGTAATGCGAAAAGCACTAGGAAATATCCTGAATCTACGGAGATACTTGGCATGTGACGCAGCTTACTCATTAGAAGCCGTGTTCCAAATAAATGAGGTAAACGTCTTTGAATTAAAGTGCAGTCACATTCGAGAAACAATAAACAGAGTCAGCGATTACACGTCTTGAAATTTCCGACGGCTCGTTGTGATTCTCAGTGATCAAGACTTGGGAGTGAATGGCTTTGACGAACTAACGTACTCTGGAATAAGATGCATGAAATAAGGCCTATTTTGGTCGTGGCGTGACTTTTATATGAGTGAAACCCCTTTAGGTGATTCTCAGCGGGGTTCAGAAAGCTTATTCACTCAGCAGGATGCATGTGAATTTCTGATTCAGCTATTTGCAAGGAGTTGAAAAAAGGTTGATGCCATTTTAGCGTGGTGAGACAGAGTTACCATTCCACGATGATATATATCCTTAAGAGTTACACCTCGGGTCGGACCGCTCACAGTTCGAATGTAATTCTAACTTGGAATCTATCAGAAACACGAATTTCTGCGTATTGTTGTGCTTCCGTTAGCTGCATCACGTAAGTTCTACCCGACTTATGGAAGGACCGGAATTTTAAGGTCAAATTGTAAAGAGCTTGATTCAAATCACGCCGCAAAGTGGGGATTCATGTTTAATTCGATGACCACACGGTGGTTTTGATTTCTACTTACAAGCGTCTTGCATTTCTCAATCGATAAATTGGATTGGTTGAGCCAACTTTCTGCACTGTAATGGATTTAGTCCTCGGCATCCGAAATTTCCCTGGATGGAGTATCGAGATTTCCTAGAAAGTTTTAGCTAACTCTGTTGTTTATGCTAGTAATTCGTGTATTATATCAACAACATCAACGTTACGGAATATGCAGCGCGTCAGTAAGGTGAATGTAGAATCTTTTCGGTTGTGATGAAAGCAAATGGGTCATTTAGATAGCTAGAAAGCAGCTTGCTTTAATTTCGACTTGGTTGTACGAGACAAAATCTGATGGGGGTGCTCTACCCTCAGAGTTTTCACTTGAAGAGGAATCGTGTGTGCTCATTGCGGAACTATGACCGAACTAACGAGCTTCCAAAGAGAACAAAAAAGTTCTTTAAGTTGATCATTTGGTTGACGTACATACATCACTCTGTGGCCATGTTTAAGATTGTTAGCCTGACAAATGAATGGAAAAATCTTCAAATCTTGACTGCTTACTCAACCCAAATTCATAGGTTTTACTCCCTTCCGGCTAGTGAGACCTCACGGGGTCTCTGCCTTCAAAACGTGTATGCAGGTCATGCAGACGAACGTTTACAAAAACTTGGTATACTCCCTTTCCTAAAGTACAAATGTACATTCTACCCCACAGTTCGATTGTCCTGTTTGCAGCGCCAGCTGTGTTTGTTTAAATGCTATCCTCAAAGACGGGGGGAATTCGGTTGCTAATACCTGTCTGATGTTTTCCTAAAACAGTGAAAAAAACAGTTGTTAGTTGCTATCGCTTCACTGAGAGTCTAGCGACTGGAATTAAGATGAGAAGCTTCCCGTAACCATGCTTCTCAAAGCAGTATTCTAGCGTGCCCTCTCAGTCTGAGCGAATCGTTACATTCAGTCGTGTCTGATTCAGTTGGTTGTCATTCAAGGTCACGAATTTCGGTGGTTTCCTGTTGTCCACGAAAGCTGTTCTCCTCGGTATGGAGTGGAGACGTTACTGTAGAGCAGTTTTACGACACTGCGAGTTTGAACGGTTTTTGTCGATATGGGTTACAAACTCATCGTCCAATTTGGTTAGTAACTCAGTCGCTTAACCATTGAGATCTCACTGTTACCAGTTAGTGAAATTCGTAGCGATGTCAGGATATCCTTCTCTTATCGATCAGTTCGTGTTTAAGTTTCACTGGGAGACGAATTTCAGACCGAACTGAAAGATTCATCGAGACATCTAAAAGCATCCGAAAATGTTGTTCTGAGGTTGCTGATGGGTTAGTCGATCGATCGGGTAGAAGAATGAGATGAACGTTCATAGTCTTTTCTAAACTGAATCGTTATGTATCGATTTCTGGATCCTTAATTGTGAAAACTAGTTGGAACGGATCGTATTCTCCGATAGCCGCATCATGCTTTCCAACATAAGATAGGATGGTTGGTTGATCAATCGATCAGGGTTAGTGTCAGGACATCCGTTATTGGAAGTTTCTGGTAGAACTTACGGGTATCCATCACCTTGCGCCTTTCGTGCATGAACTCACAGAAAGAATTCCGCAACCGAATGAATTTATACTGGTCCACAAACCCAATGTTGCGTTGCAGAAATCAACTTAAGGACCAAAGGTCAATGTAACAGGTGAACGGTATCTTCGAGCGACGCGTAATACTAGAACCTCCGGAAGGCAAAACAAAGTCGGAGCTGCGTTTCTATACGGTACTATTAATGTCAGACGAATTCACATATAATACAAACCTCGACAGTAGATACTCGTCCGAAACAAAAGTACAAACCAAGAGAGCAAATAGGCTCCCACGTGCGACAGTCACACGTGCACAAAGTCGGCTACAAATGGCCGCATGACCTCAAGGCCATCTGGGTGAAGTGGTAAGGACAAACAAACGTCAGTTTATATAGACGCACTAAACACAAAAGTGGGGCGGGGGGTTACAATGGGGTGAATTTCAATTGTCAACGTAATGGATGGAGAATGTCTAACATACCAAAGAGGCTCGAATGTTTGCCTAAAATGCTGTAGTCGACTGAGTGACGGAACTTGTCCCCGTGTGGATAAAAGGACGTCCGGAGACACAAACAACCATCCTTGGTACCATGAAGTGAAAGGACGGTGAAACCGAAATTCGGTTAACAGGAAGTGAAGATCTTTGTGATTAGAAATATGAGGTAAGACAAGAACTTCCCTGAACCACCTCAATTTGTTGCAAACTTACTGAGGTGTATAACCTTGGTGATAAAGCGGCACATCAGTGTTTCAACTTCTCCAATACAGGTGTCTGTCCGTCCGTACTACGTGTAACTAAACTTCCCACCTGAAGGAAGGCTTAATCAATCGGCGTGGCTCAAAATATGCATGACCTTGACGAGGGTATGATCGAATAATTTAGGCGGATTCGATGGCAGGATCACGACCAAACTCATCAAATTCGGATCGGAGAGATCCAGAAAGATGAGTAGCTAGACAAGGACAAAGCAAGGGGCAAAAGAACCAATGAACCAAACGTCCAAGCAATGTCATACT